GGGGGGGTGGGGGGGGGGGGGGGGGGGGGGGGGGGGGGGGTGGGCGGTGGAGCCAGTTGTCACAGGTGGTGCTGAGGTGGGAGGGAGTGGGGATGAAAATCAGCAGCAATGGAATGGGCTGGCTCTCAGTACATCTCAACCTGCTCCCATTACCCTAAATGCTTCTCTCAAGTGGCCAGTAATTGACTCTTTTAGGGTCTCAATTGTTGATGGGAAGGGAAAAGGTATCCATATTCCTTTCCCCCTCCACCCCAGAAATAATCAGTTCAGAGGCAGGAAGGTGATGGGCCCCAAAATGTCCCTCTCCCTTGCAACTTGCCACAGGGGAGGGCAATAAATGTCACCAAGCTAGACCAGATAATTAAAAAAAATCTGTGTTCTAACTTAAAGAGATTTGCTGACATTTAATCGATGCTGCTTGAACTACATCAGGTACAAATGCAACACAGACTTTGCAAATGTAACATTTCCAGGTAGGTGCATGTTAACACACAACTATTCATAAAGCCAAGAATTTGCGAATTAGGCCAACACAATAAAGAGGAGCTGCAGGGTTCGAAGGAGAAGATGGGAGACTGGCAATGTGTGAATTGCTCACTCCAACTGCTGCTGCTGACACAACAGGCTGCAAGACCTCCTCATACATCATTAGAATCATAGATTAGACTGGTGTCAGCCATGGCTTGGCAGTAATGTACTCTCAAGGCAGAAGGCTAAGGATTCATGTCCAAAGACTTGAGCCCATAATAAAGGCCAACTCCAAGGGAGTGCTGCACTATCAGAGATACCAATTTTCAACTGAGGTATTAAATTGAGGCTCCATCTGTCCTCATAGACGGATGTAAAGTGGGTATTTATTTTAGGTGTATTTTGGGATACCTGGAGGTCACAATACAAATTGGACGATTTCCTTTCTAACATCACAGATAGAAATAAGTCTCGAATATTAAAAAAATGTCAATTCACCTCACACATTTGGAGTTGGAACATCTTTCGCTCTTTGTCCAGATCATCCGCGAGTTCAGCTGCATTGATTTCTGAACGACTCAATCCAAATTGCTTGGCACGGTCTTTCTTTTCCTTTTCAATTTTATTACTGAAAAGTAAATGGAGATACAAAGCAAAACAACAACCTCAGCCAAAATTGGTCAGATGCACGCTGCCTTGCATTGCCTGTTCCACGTGGCTCCAAACATTGTGACACAAGTAGGGTTTTCCCCAACGATTTCAAGGTGCTTTTCCTTTGTGTGATAACCCTCAACATCTGATACAAACTGTAATGTGAGCATGAAATGGGATTTCCAGATTGCTGTGGATACAATCACAGAACACATTACAATTCATGATTTGAGAGGTTATAATTATCCAGGAAGATTGAACAGATTTCGGCTCTTTTTTCCCCTAAAAGAAGATTGAAGGATGACCTGATAAAGGTTTGAAAGAGTAGCGCAAGGGAAATGTTTTCCCTTGAAAGGGGATCCAAACGAGTAGATGTAAGGAAGTTAGCTACTAATAAATCAAAAAAGCAATTTAGGAGAAGCTTCTTTAGTTTTAGAGTGGTTAGAATGTGGAACTCGCCATCACAAAGCACAATCGAGACTGATCTAATCTTCAGCACATAAGCGGAGACCAAAAACAGTATGAACAAAGTTGGCACGTCTGATGTTAAGACCTCACAACCTGGTTTAAAACTCCTTTACCAGTATCAGAATGAACAGACAATTGCTTTCTTTGAACTTAAACTGCAATCAAAGACTCACATCTCACTTAAGTTTATAAAATCCTCCCATTTGGTACTTGGAAGTAGAAACCAGGCTTCCCCCACTTCCCCCTCACCTGTAGACAGCTCACCTTCCCATTGAGCAGTTTTAAACCCGTTTACATAAATAGTTCTCTAATGGACCAGATTCAAAGATCTTTATAGTACCCTTCAACATAGTAAAAGACTGCAAGCGACTTCAGAGGACAATTTTACATAGTACGATACAAGAAGATGTAAAAACAGATTTAAAATCATGGGCAAATCGGCCAGGTGTTAAAAGGAGTGTCTTAAAATGGGTGAAGGGAAAGTTTCAGGAGGGAATTCCAAAGCCTAGGGCCTAAGTGGACGAAGGCATAGCTACTAATGGTGCAGCAAAGGAAGGAGCGAATGCACAAGAGGCTCAAGTTAGAGCAAAGTAATGCAGATACTTTGGAATGAAAATAATGCCGGAGAAACTCTAAGTCTGGTAGCATTTTGTGGAGAGAGAAACAGTGGATTGTTTCTACTCCAATATGATCTTTCTTCATAACTGCATTTGGAAGATTGTGAAGTTGAGGGGCCAAATGGCTTCCTTCTGTATTGTAACAATTGCGGTAATTCTATAAAGGAGGTTATTGACAAGGCAACGGTGGTATTTGAACACAGAATTTAATAAATAAATAAAATTAAAAGGCATTATTAATTGGCAGCTAATGTACTGGGGGTAAGCACATAGATGGGTGAATGACAGCAGAGACTTGAATATGATCAATTGAAAATAGGTGCCTTTCAATTTGCTTTTCACTCAAACTGATAGAGGTGCAGTGTCAGGGCAAGTTCAGTTAAAAAATATAGTGCATGATAGGGTGAGCTAACTGGATCATACTGATGAGAACATGTGCTCAATATAGTCCGACATAGTCCAAACACATTCAAAAAGATCTTTCCAGTGTGGAGTAATCTGCAACTCAAAAGACAAGATAGGATTACCAGAAGATGGAAAGAGTGTGAAAGGTCAGCATTACAAATACAAATGTAGCATGGAGTTTAAAATGTGTCAAAGATAGAGCACACAGACACAGGCAGAGTCTATATGTAAAATCTTTCAATTTTCACTGTGTTTGCCTGTATGGTACTATTGTCCGCGTGGTTTGAGGCGATAGAAGATAGTTAGCATTAATGTAACTGCACCTCAGAAAACAGAAGTGAAACAAACAATATGTATTTTTTAAAACTACACATTCTATCATCCTGGACTTGAACACATGACCCAAGATCACACGCCACATGCAGTACCAGGGAGCACTGCACTGTCGGGGATGTAGTCATTTGGGTGAGACATTAAACTGAGACCCTGCCTGATCTCAAGGGAACATGAAATATTCCATAGCACAATTCAAAAGAGCAGGGGTTTACACATCAGTGTTCTGGCTAATCCCAACCAACATCACAAAAATAAAACAGACTAGCTGGTCCTCATCACATTATTGCCTGTGGGACCCTGCTGTGCACAAATTGTCAGCTCTGTTCTTCTATTTCAACAGCGTTTATAACTTTTTAAACAAAAGACTGTAAAATGCTTTGTGGCTTCCAAAGAAGGTGAATGGTGCTAAATTAATCCAATTTGATTGTCTTTTTGCCCTACTTCCTCTCTTTCTCTCTGTCATTTACTCTATCCATTATCATTGACTTCATATCCTATATAAGTAACTAGCTATGTCATACTGTATAACATCACACAAACAATAACCATAAAACGCTATCAGTACTGAAAAGAAATTTAAAAAAGAATTTGTTTTCATTTTGTGTTCCCTAGAACTATTTAAGACTCAGTCCTCGATTGAAGTCTAAATTTCAAAACAGCTTCCCTTTTCTCGGTTCACCAAACGTTTCCTAAGCAGTAGATGAAAGACGGGAAGTTAAAAGCAGAAAAACAAACCTCTAACCATTTTAAACCTTTTGCCTCCTCCGTCAAAAAAATGCTATGCTTCACCTAACAACTGTTATCATGAATAAAATTTAACATGGGAAAGACACAGAAGTCTGTCACCCTCTGAACAGAAGCTCAGCCCAGAAGCCAGTTAACAATGGAAAGTAAAATTCAGTGTCGGGAACCAACAACACAACAATTATTTCCAATGAAAAACCCCTAGAAGAGAGGGAAAGTTTCATACCAGAGCAAATGGAAGATAGGCTTCATCAACAGGAAGAAAATTCATTGTAATCCAAAATTGACATCAAAGGACACAATAGAATCCTACTTTAAAAAGTTCAAGGGATTTGGCGATAGGGTTGCTGGTTATTTGGTTTTGAGCCCAAACTTTCATAAAATTTCTAAAACTGTTCGTACAAAGATTCAGAAAATTTCTTCTTCCACCCACTGAAGGCAAATGCAGAAGACTTCAATCAAATTTCTCATTGTTGGGGAGATGGTGATGTAGGGGTAAATGTCACTAGACTAAGGAATCCAAGGGCTCAAGCCAGGGCTCCGTGCACAGAAGTTCAACTCCCATGACAGCAGCTGCTGAAATATAAATCCAATGAATAAATCTGAAATCAAAGCTAATGGTAACCATGACAATCATCACTGATTGCCATCTTGAAAATACATGATAACAATCTGTTGCCTTTACCTGGCCTGGCTATATGTGACTCCAGACCCACAGAGAGGTGGCTGATTCTCAACTGTCCTCTGAAATGGGCTAACAAATCACAAAGTTCAAGGGCAACTAGGGATGGTCAATAAATGCTGGTCCTGCCAGCAATGTCAATGTCCAATATAGGAAAAAAAAGGAAAACAAGCAAATATTAGAACACAAGACAATAAGTCCAGACCTTACTTACAGCCAGGCCTTGATTGACACATGCAACAAATGAGAATACCATTTCTTCAGCACCTTATCACATCTCTCAAAAGTCTCAAGGCAGTTCACACAAGTTACTTTAAAATAAGTAAAGGCCTTTGAAAAAGATGCAGAGAACATTTACTAGAGCAGAACTAGGAGTGAAAAATGTCAGGACGGTGAAGAAACTAATGACATTGGAATGATTCTCCTCACAGTACGAACAGCATTAAAGTAAAATATAATAGAGGTGTTCAAAATCATAAAAAGAGTTTTGATAGACTAGAGACGGGACAAAATGTTTCCACGGATTGAGAAGTCAATAATCAGTGAATGCAGACACAATGCATTTAATAAAAGAAACAAATAGAAGATAAAAGGATTTTTAAAATTTAAAAGCAATGAGTTATGATAATCTGGAATGCAGAGACTAGAAGTATTGTGGAAGCAGATTCAAGAACAAATTATGTGGAAAGAGTAGGGGAGTGGGACTGAATGGGTCTTCCAAAAAGCTGGCACAAATCTAAAGGGCAGAATGGTATCTGTGCTTTAAGATTCAATGACTCCAAGAACAAATTTCTTAATGCATGGTAATGAGGTGAATGTTCAATAAAACTTGCATTTTTCTTAAATAAACAGAATTATTTAGAGAACATGAGATGTAGAAAACTCCCAATACTTCAAATAGCAACATGAAATGTTCAATCACTTGTTTTAGTCTCAATATTGTCCCAGCTATGACCTACTAACTCTGAATTATAGGGTTATGTTCAACCCCTGCTCTATGGCATTGATCACAAAAAAAATGTGATCCAGTGCAATGTTGAGAAGCAATGCACTCTTTTGCATAATATGTTAAGCTAAATTACCATTTGCCTAATCAGGTCGACAAAAACAAAAATGAATAATGCCATCTGAAGAAGGAATGGATGATGGTTCTTTCGATCACAGAGTACTTACACTTTGGTTTCATAGTCTTTCCAAGCTTTTTCAATGAGTTTCTTTGGGTCCTGCGGGCAGAAATTAAAGACCAATTTAATTGACCTCAATTCTTAAATGGATGGCAAAGTCAACATCTATCTGCCACACTAGAAATTGTTGCCAAGAATCAATGACTGTTAGACTGGGAGCTTCACAGTCCACTCACTCTCACAGCCACAAAGTACATAGGTCAGGACTGAATAATATTAGGCAATAATTGAACCAGCGGTGAGTGGGTGCTCAAACACAGTTCCCAAAAGCACTACAGTTAAACCGTGTAACTGCAATAAAATTTAAAATTCTGAATAAACGCATTCATAGCAGCAGTCTCCCTACCACCTGCATCGCTAACTACATCTCTTAATCTTCTTTCTTTCAAAAGGCACAATCTACTCTGTCAACTTATTTTAACCAGCCCTTTTCAGTAGCATCCTGCTTTCTAGTGATTATAACTTAAAGTGAGGCAGAGATCAGAGAAACAATGGTCGAAACAGAATCCTTATGATTTTATTTTACAAATTTCATGACCAGTCAATGTGTTGTTCCTTGGATTTCAATTCAGCTCAAGCCAACCAGAAATGGTTTAAATCAAATAGGAAAATAAATGGCTCCCCTCATCAGCTGGTCCAAAGCAGGTCTGACATTAAAAGGAGCTGCTCTTAATGGCTACAAATTCATAGCATGGATTGGCCTACATCTAACACCAAGTTGCCAACCATACACACGAGACAGGAGGTTGCTTGTGGCATAGTGGTAATGTCCCTACCCCTGGGCCAAGAGACCCAGGAGACCCAGGTTCCAGAATCACCTACCCCGGAGGTGTGTCATAACATATCTGAACAGGTTAATGACAGACATCTACACAGGATATGGCATCAGGACTGCAATGTACAAATGCAAGTGGCGCATGCATATTGTCACGAGATGCTCATAGCGGGCTGCAGGGGCTTCAGAGTAAAATAAGCATTTGACGTAGAATGCATCAATTTGACATTAAAAGGAGTCGAAAGTGTGAGGAAATTAATGTTCCAGGTCTCAGTGGTGACTTCTACTGAAACATTAAAACAAATAGAATTTCCACATGTGGCCAGTTTCCAAAGATTTCACAGCTCACACACATGCACAGCTGTCAGCTCAGTCAAGAATGGATGTTAAAACCTTCCAGCGAGCTGCGGGTACGCTGTTCAGTCTCAGACAGTGACTCAAATCAAAAGGCAGCAACCTCATTTCAGAATTCGGCTCAAGTACAAAGCCTTATTCATGTCATTTGATTTTAAAGGGGTGCCATGTTTCAAGGAAAACCAGAATATGAAAAACTTTCACATCAGTATTTGGAGTGACTCCAGAAGACAAAGTCCAGGTACCACCCAAAGGCTGGCAACACTCCGTCCTGCGCCCTCCCCCACCATGTCCTTGCCAATTCCAGTGCAAATTCACCGCCAGAGTAAACACAAAAAAGGGTCAGTCAATGGTGCAACAAACTGATACACGCATATTGGCTGCATCAAGTCATCTGAGCAGAGACAATGCGTAGGTTGCAATATAATTTGGCCCCACCTCCAAGATCAAGAACTGAGCAGAAACAATGCAGTCGCAGAATCTGAAGAGTAGTCTCAGTGCCATTCAATAAAGACAGCTCAAAACATTAACCAGTCTAGCCACCACTCCATCTGAATCACACGTAGCACACTGCACACAAACCTTTTTGATTTTGTTGTGAATCATTTAGTTACAACCAGCAAACCTCTCAAGAGGCCTCATACAGACTCTCAAATTCCAAGGCAACAGAGCGCAAATGACTGGAATGCAAAGCAAATTAAATGAGTTGTGACTTACCTACCAACAAGACAAGAATGCCAAAGAAAAAACTCATGCTAAGCCTGCAGGCTCAAATAGTTTAAATCAGAACAAAACATAGCCGGTGTATATAATGGGGGTACCAACTAAGGTTGGACATATTCCAGGAGTGTCACATGACCTCCAGCAGCTCCGACCCCAGCCACTCCCAATCCCTTGTTGAACATCATGTCTTAACATAATTTGAACATAATAACATGAATAACATAACTTCACAGTGCTTCAGGTTCCCAAAGCCAATGGGAAAACTCAACTGGGTCATTCTTGACCATCAGCCAAACAGCCTTTTCCTCTCCCTTACACATTTACAGATTTTTAAAACTAATTAACAAAAGCATTCAGACAAAATTAGGGAAAGAATTTAATGCACCCATAACTTTGCTGATTATTTCACATGCAGAAATGACCTAGAGATTAACTTTCAACTACTGGAGACTCCAGGTCAATTCTGGAGTGTTGGCCACTCTAGCTTAGTTGCTTTGGCTTCAAGGTTTAGGTGGCCAGGGGTTATGTTCTGGACATTGTCGGTGGTACACAAACTTTGCTCCATATGGCAGGTGACCAATTTATGGATAATTTACTCCATATTCAATCAGAAAATGCAAATTTTTAACTTGTTATTCAATTTCCTTAGAAACCTTGACCCTTTTTAGTCCCTTGTCTTTATTTTACAGAACCTCCCCTATAAGGAGGAGGGGAAAGGAAATTGAATAGTGTGGATATCCTATAAAAGGTACACACAGCCCTAGCATAAAAATTGTCAGACGTCATCCAGGAAGCAGAAATCCAAAATCATGTCTTCCAAAAGAGACAGTTGATGTTCTCCTACACCATAGCCATAGCCAGTTACATATCCAGGCTAAACATGGGTGTTAAGGTTACAATTCTGCAAAGACAGATAAAAAGAGAAGCAACTTCACCCCTTTTCCTTCCTTCAAATCGCCTTTTAGCAGACTGTCCAATGGAAAAGAAAGGATGTTGTTCATGTTTTGAGTCTGTAAAAGAAATTTTTTAAAAGGTCACCATTAAAATCCAACATGGAAATAGATAATTGCTTCCAAGCAAGGTTAGATATCACAACTTCATCACCATTCCATTCATAATATGGAAATATCACTAGAAAAGTGCACATAAATCAAACACAAATAAAATACATGGCTTCAATGTACTGAAGGCCCATAATGTTGTTCACCGTATGAATATTTACACTTCATACAAGCAGGATCATGGAAACACCAGTGACAAACTTGCCATTACAGCATATTTATAAAGCACCTTTAAAACCATATAAACTTTCCAAGGCACTTCACAGGAATGTTAACAAACTTTACCCAGCACCTCAAAAAGAAGGGAGGATGGTGAGGCAAAAAGATCTAAGGAAGGGGAAATTCCATAATTCAGGACATTGATGGCAATAAAAGCATGGCCAATAATGGGGCAACGAAAACCTGGGATATGCAAAAGTCCAGAATTGGAGGTGTGGAGAGATTCTGGTACTCCTGCATGTACAACAAAGATTGGCAGAAGGTTCCAGAGAGGCCATGGAAGGGGTGACGGAGGGGGGGAGCGAAAAAAATAAATCATTGTTAGCCTACAAGTACAGAGTGGTGGGTGAAGTGGACTTGGTGCCAGCTTGGAGACAGGTAGGATTTTGGGTGGGCTTTAGTTTACACAGGATGCAAGGTGAGAGGCTGGCCAGGAGAGCAGCAGTTATTGATTCTGTGGGTAACTGGAGGTTGAGTGAGTGTTTCAGCAGTAGGTAGGTCAAGAAAAGCATGGAGACGAGCGATGTTACAAAATTAGAAATGAGGCAGTCTTGGTGGCAGAAAAGATGAACATCAGCTCAAGGTCAAATAAAGTGAACCTGTTCTCATTAGAGACAGTCTGGCGTTGCTGCAAGATTTCAACTGAATATTTTTCCTTTTGTCTACCAAATATGGCCAACTTTCCAAAATGGGAAAGATGAATAAAGCGTTACGAAATAGCTTTGATTGTGGTTCTCTTTTCATCCCGTTTTCTATTTACAATTATAACAATGTATCATCTTAAGAACAATACTGTAAGTTACAGAACATCCCATAACCACAATAAGCAAGGTATCCAACACTGCAATTAAGCAACTAGTTTGAGAGAGAATCTAAAGGTGCAGGCTTGCCAGATGGAGTTTGTCAGCTAACAATAGAAGAATTGATTCGTAAGCCTGTTTTCAACTATTAAAAAAATGTTTGCTGTTTTATAAACCTTCATCCCTCAAATCACCATCATAAGAAAAAAATAATCTGCTCATATTGACATTCTGCTTATAGATCTAACTCTGCAGTGACAGTTATTGGTTTCCTACATTACAACAGAGACCACACTTCAAAAGTATTTCATTGGTGCTTTGTCACTTGCCAAGGTGTTGCAAGATGCTTTACAAATACAAGTTCTTTCTTTACTGGATCACTAAAAGACCCAATAACAGGAACAATATGGGTTTTAAAAACATGTTGCAAGGAAGCTGCCCTCTGACATTTCCAGGACACCATAGTCTGGCCATTCCCATGGAAAGGAAATATAAGCTACTGCTTTATCAACTGTGACCCATGTTTTATACAGCGGTGTAAAAACATTTTGTTGCAAACAACACTTATTTTCTTTCTCCTAACTTGAAGGTTGGTATTATACTTTAAGAATATATATCTTTGACATTGCTGACCATGTGGATTGTGATGCTGAAACAGTATCCTAGTTGGATGCATTACCAATTAAATGATAGCCTACAAACTTTGCAAAGTGATAGTTGAACTAATGGTAGCTTTTGAACTGTTCATGTCTGAACAGGGCTTTAAAACATAATGGAGAGACTATTCATGGACAGGAAATGCCAAGAGTGATTCAGCTACACAAGATAATGAAGGTTTTAATAAAAGAAAGTCTATTTCCACTTCGTTATCAAGAAGACAAATATCTAGAAGTGAAAGTAAGTGCAATTTGGTACAACGAATAAAGGAGTTCACTGTACTGACAAATGCTCAATGGTTTAATTGACCGATGTTTCACTTATATTTGTCTGCTTCCGGTTCTATGGTCACTGTGCTTAATTGACTAAGGCTTGGTGTAGCCCCCAAGAGCTAATGTAAACACAAGCTTCCAAAAGCACCAGAAGAGCCAGAGCTTTGGACATGTTTGTACCATTTCCAAAGGCGTAGCCTTTGAAGAGATATTTTAAAATCAGTATAAATTTTCTGCTCTGCAAAATAGACTGCTAACTGGCAAATGCACAACAGTCACCTATTCCTTGGAAACGGGACAGAGGTGTAAAGGGATCATGTGGTTGGGGTGGAGATACAGGCAGTAACATTTTGGCTGACCAAGTTCACTGAGAATGCAAAACAGGAAGCTAGCTAGTAGAATACTGGAATTGTCAAATCTAGACATACTAAAGACATAGGTGAGGATTTCAGCAGCAGATGGGGTGAGGCAACCATGGATAAAAGCTGTAATACATAGATGGAAATGAGTAATGCTGGTAATGGAAGATAACTGTCTATTTGGATTCAGAAAGACACACTATACTGAGCTAAGAACTGTAACATGTCTGGAATTCACATTAGGTCTGGCTGTGAGCATGACCTTGTTAAATAAACACTACAGTAATATATTGTTGTAATACTATATACTTAAATCTGCAATTTCAGTGTTCCAGGGACCTACATAAATGTAAGAAACAGGAACACTATGGCCATGTGGCTCAGCTATTCTTTCCCACAGTAAGATCATGGTTGCACTTCTAAAATCAGCCTTGTAGCCATACTCCCCAGTTTCTTTAGTGTCAAAAATATCCAGAGATCTTAGTATTGAATATATCCTTTATATTGAAACTATGACCCCTAGTTTTAGACTGGGCAACAGCCTCTCAATATCTATGCTGCCAATGAAGCAGAGGCAAGAGAGTTAAAATTAAAGTGCATGATAGCCTGGTCTAGTTATGCTCTATTTCTTCCTAGCATGATGGGATACTTGACCAAGAATGGCTTTGGAAGTGTTAGTTCAGCAGTAACAATAACAACCCTGGTTATTCATCGTTATACAGTGTGAGGAGATAAGGGAAACAGAAGGCCAAACAAGACAGTTGAGTCATAATGGAAACTAGTAGACCCAGGGCTGAAGGTTGAGATAACTGTGCAGCTTTGTCCTCCTCATCTCAGGAAGGATTGTACTCCCTCTATGGGCAGTAATAAGGTTCATCAGTCTTGTTCCCAGGTCGGCAGGACTTTCCTATAAAGAGAGACTGGGAAAATTGGGCCTGTATTCTCTAGAATTTCAAAAAAGTGAGAAGTGTCTCATTGAAACCTACAGCCAGGGTAGGTGCAGGTAAAATGATCCACCTGGCTGGAGAGTCTAGACCCAGGAGGCACAATTTAAAAATAAAGTTGGTTGTCATTTAGGATTGAGAAGAGGAGTTGTTTTTTAAACTCAGAGTGATAAATCTTTGGAATTCTCTATCCTAAAAGGCTATTGGAACTCTATTTTTGAGCATATTTATAATAGAGAGGAGTGTAAACTTTGATTATCAATAGCTTCAAAGGATCATGTGCATAAAAGACATAGGAAGGGTTGATCAACCAGGATCATGTTAATTGGTGTTGCAAACCCAGTAGGCTGAATAGCCTTCTCCTCTTCCTATGAGAACAGGGGCGTGCATAAAGTTGAGAACAATAAACATATGCTTTAAACTCTATTATTGAGAAGTTTTTTGGTTAACCAAGATGTTTTCCTTCTCATTTTCCCCACACTTCCACAAGACAGCTCTCAGCCCAAGAATCAATTTAGTAAATCTCACTGCATCCCCTAATCCTAAAGATAACATATCCTTCCTTACATAATGAGAGAAAACCTGGACACAGTATGACAGCTGTCGCCCACCAGAGCCCAAATATAATTGCAGCAAGTCATTGTACTCTTGTAAACCAACACACTTGCAATAAAACGTTAATCTATCAATTGCCTTTCCAATTGCTGGCTGTACTTTCATATTACACTTCAGTGATTTACACACACACACCCTCAACATTTACAAATCTCTCACCATTTAAACATTATTCGGTTCTTCTCATTCTTCCTAACAAACAGAAAAATCAAGTGCATTATATTCTATCTGCCGCCTTTTTGTCCAGTCACTGAACCCTCTCTATCCCTTTGAAACCTTTAAGTCCACCTCAGAGCTTATTTTCCTATCACCTATTGAGAACCAGATGCTTATAATGGCATACAGTGAATTGGTGAGCTAAACAGACTTACCAGGTTTTTAAAGAGTGCTGTAACTTCACGTGTGAAAACACCAAGGTTCAGGAAACCCATGGACAACTCATTCTTATTTTGAGACAGGTGGTGGTTCCCGAAGCTCTCCAGAACTTCAAAGTACTGCTCCTTATTCTCCACATGTGCTGAACACCAACACCAAGTGAAAAAAAAATAGAGGCTTCTCATTAGATATAGGTTCACAGGATAGGCAGCAACGCCCATACTAATTCCCACATCAACACACCAGAAGTACGTTCTCTGTACCAGCTTCAGTGGAGACGGAGAATCCAAACAAATAAATCATTCATTCTCCCTAAAATCAGGAGTGCACAGGCTAAAGGTGGTATCAGTACAACAAACCTAATCAGCATTAGTTACCTTCGCGCAAATCAGAGATGAAATTCTCAGGCTGGGAAGAGAAAGGGGAATGAGCAAGACAGAAAATATGGTGCATTTACAAATGAGCATCAAGAAAAATTTCACTGGAATCAAACATCTTAATACATAAATAAACTCGCAAAAACCTGAAATCAAGCTAAGTTTTATGGGGGATTCCACTGAAATTGCTCAACACTTTAATGCCATTGTCTGACAGAAATCTACCAATTGCACAGACTCATAAGATCATAGAATGGTGACAGCACAGAAGGATGCTATTCAGCTATTGGGTCCATGCTCGCACTGTGGAACATCAAGTCTGCTGGCTCCACCTCCTGTGCCTTTCCCTGTAGCCCTGATTGGCTTACCCCTCTTAATTTGGTGCTCATCTAATTCCTTTTTGTTTAGAAGCCACAATTGAACCTGCCTCCAGCACACTCCTGGGAAAGAACATTCCAGATGCTAATCATTTGCCACTGAAGGGGTTTTTTCTTGTCCTGCTGCCACTTTTGCCAATCACCTTAATTGGTGTCCTTTGGTTCCTGATCCTTCTGTCAATGGGAATGGGGTTTCTCTCCATCTAATCGCACCATCATAACACCACAAGATATAGGAGCAGCATTAGGCCATGGAGCCCATCCTGTCTGCTCCAACATTCGATCTTGGCAGATACGTTTCTCAATGCCACTCTCCTGCCTCCTCCCCATAACCCATGTTCCTCTTACCAAAGAAGAACATCTCTGTCTTAAATACAATCAACGACCTGTCCTCCAGGGCTTTCAATGGCAATGAGTTCCACAGAGTCATCATACTCTGGGTGAACAACCTCCTCCTAATCTCAGTTCTAAAGGGTTGTCCCTTCACTCTAAGACTATGTCCCCGGTCCTAGTCTCTCCTACTAGTGGAAACATCTCTCCATGTCCACTCTATTCAGGTCTCTCAATATCCTGCCAGCTTCAAATCAGATCTTCCCTCATCCTTCTAAACTCCAATGAGGATAGACCCAGAATTCTCAAACACACTTCAAAAGACAAGCCCTCATCCTCAGGATTATTCTTGTAAACCTCCTCCAGACCCTGTCCAATGCCAGCACATCTTTCCTTAGATACGGGGGCCAAAGCTACTCACAATAGTCCAAATGCAGTCTGACCAGCCTCAGCAGAACATCTCTGCTCTTGTATTCTAGCCCTCTTGAAATGAAAGCCAACATTACATTTGGCTTCCTAACCACCAACTGAACCTGCATGTTAACCTTAAGAGAATACTGAATTACAACTCTAAAGTTGGTCTGCAATTGGTTTTAGCCACAGTCACTGCACACCTTTCAGAGAATGGAGCAGCCACGTCTCCTACAGTCCAGACTGCCACATAATGGAAATGAGACATCAGGAAGCTCACAACATTTAAGATTCTAGTCTCCTTACCTCTAGGCCAGGAGGCCTGGCTTTAAGTCACATCTGTCCCAGAGATGTGTCGTAACATGTCTGACCAAGTCGACTTTAGGGAGAGCTAGAAATCTATTTGTTCCCTTTCCTTCACTCACTCTTCATTTGTAATGAATGTGCAGTTTGGAAAAGATTCATAGGGTATTCTAGCAATCAGGCAGACCTTGACATGAACCTTCTTCAAATGCCCAAAACTGATCTTAATATGTACCAGTCTATGGCCACATTAATTGGCACATATCCAAATAATGTCAACATTATACAAATTGGTAAATAATCCAGGTGTCAATCTGCCTTCCGCCACCATCCTGCCCATAAAATGATGTGATGGTATACAGTTTAGCCGCTTCCACACAGCTTCATATTGCTCCTTTTTTTAGAAAATGAAATGAAATTGTTGCTGGCTGGGGCGGGGGTTTGGACGGGGGACATCAATCCCAGGGAAATATAATCTTTCTATCCCTTCAGGTGCCCATGAGACACATAGCCAGTAAGAAATATGACTAGTCTCTTACAGTAGCTGATTCTGAACACTGAGATGCCAATCATCCAATAATCGTTTCATTATTAGCTGAAATGATCAGCAGGTAATCATTTCTGTTGAAAGTAAACATTTGGAGAACTCTCACCTTTGCCTCAGACTCAAATGTTACCTCCTAAAGCTTTAGACTCAATGACACAGGGTCAGTTTAAGCCAAAACCAAAATGTGGAGTAGAGTTGGGGACAATTCTTTGATGCAGATTCGTTAGATCCTGGGCTGCTCCAATACAGTGAGGAGCTGAGGAAGAGGAAATTGTATTTATTATGTGGATACATATTGATATAGCTCAAGAATCAGAGTTTGAAGCAAAATGATGGAATAGGTCGAGCCAACATAGACATGACGGGCCAAATGGCATCCTTTAATGCTTATGGCTCTATGACTTCCACTGACATTCACGTTTCTGAGTTTATAGTCCATCTTTCAGGACCTCAGTATGTCCCATTTTGTTTTATAGCCTACAATACTTTTAAAGTACGGTTACTATCATAATGTAGAAAACACAGATCATTTGTGAACAAAGGTTCTACAAACAGCAGTGAGATAATAATCTGATCATCTGATCTTTTTAAAATAAAGCGTTGTTGGTTTAGGAACAAATGTTGGCAGGCCACCAGGGAGATCTCTGTTCTTTTTCAACTAGTGTCACAGGACCACTTACATCCACTGGACAGGGCTTTGATTTAATTCTTGTCTGAAATAAGACACCAACAGTGCAGAACTCCCTTCATCACCAAGAATGTCACAGCCATATTAGGTGCTCATACCTCTGGAGTGGGTACTATTCTGACTCAGAAGTGAGAGTTCTACGCCACAGCCATCAGCCATATGCAGAGAGATGGGGGGGGGCAGTGTCGCAGGGCTAAAAGATAAAGCAAATTTAACTAGTGCTCTGCTGAGGCCTGTAGATAATGTTAGAAATTGCATATATACACACACAAACGGAGTGGAAAAGTAACGTCTATCTGGGTTGATAGTCACCTCAAGATTATCCATCAAGCGCATTTGTAAATTAGAACAACTCACTGCTCGCCTTGCTTAATAAAATGGCAAATTAGTGAAGCAGGAGGAATGCAAAAGCCTTAGTAACTCTCCCATCTTTGGAAATGTACTCACACAAGCAGCTCTTTAAAAGGCTACTTTCCACCACACAAAATTCTCCATTCATCTCTTTCCATTTCACATTTGTCAGAGGGAAATATTTCCCCTTGCACAGTACACTTTCAGTCAATCATATGGTTTCAAGAATTTACACATTTTGGATTGTGACTCCAACACCCAAGTTCGAGTGTGTGACTTACAGAGTCCAGAGGAGTGAATAGCTTTAATCAACTTCTTCATCTTCAGTAGGATAGCCTGATCTGCTTCCAGTGACTAAAAGACAAAAAGAAAAGAGCACCATTAAGGTACAACTTCCCAAGAGATTTCCAACAGAGGCAGCAACACACGGAGAGATACGCAGTTCAAACAGGTTGCACTGACAGCATACATACAACAGAACTGACTGAATTTAACCCATGCACAACTTCTCAAAAAATGTCAGGAAACTCAATTGCAGCATCGCCTTCCCCCACCTCTCCAAAAAAAAAAATACACACACACACACCCATCCCTCAGACTAAATGATCTTGTGGCTTTTATTAGCACCATTAGTAACAACAAAATGTGAACCTTGTACTTGAGCAACAAGATCTGGACACAGGGCGCAAGGTACAGTCTAATCAGAGCTCTTTGCATTTTGAACAGTAGTTCTTGCGACAACGATAACTTGGAAAAAAAATCTCAAAACACGACTGCTGAGCTTAACTCATCCAAAGCCCCCAGATTTGAAAAGGCAGATAAATAATGTTGCTCCATGTAACATGCAAATATGATGAGAATCACACTGCCACATTGTTATACCAATATTACATGGGATTTACAACAAAGAAATAAGGCACTCATTGTAACCACGCTCGTATCTGAACTTAGCCTAAGTGTAGCTGATAGTCAATCACCTGCTCAGATTTAGCATATAATATACATTTATTGCACCTTTCATGATCGCAGAACATCCTAATTTTCTGAAACTCTGATATGTATCCTGTGTTAAGACATAGGAAATGTGGCAAATAATTTGCCTACAGTAAGGTCCAACAAACAGCAACGACCACAACTGATCACACAATCTGTTCCGGTGATGCCTTTTGCGGGATAAATGAATGCCAGGACACGGACAGAACTCCCCTGGCTCTTCTTCTAAATAGTTTCATGGAACATTTATGTCCATTTAAGAGAGCTCGATGGAACCTTGATGTACAATCTCACCCAAAAACTGCCTGGGCGCATCAGCCTGCATTTTGTGCCCACGTTTCTGAAGGAGGGCTTGAACCTGATCCAGGGGCAAGAGTACTACCAACCAAACCATTGAGGAGGTTGTTAATAAAATCTACATGTTGATATGCCACTAACAGGATATTGCTGTCAAGCCAAAAAGATGTATATCTATCACTCAAGTGAGTAATATGGTAAATGAATTTCAGTGCTGCTATAATGATAGCTTCATCCACAGGCTGTACATGCCAAAGACTGTCAGGTCGTGCAAAATAGTGTATCCCTTCTGCTGTTCGTAACAAGATCTTATCAGCCTGCACTTGTAAAACTCTCAACATCCCATGTCATGTCCTTAATGTCACACATTAGATGTGATTCTGCAAGTGGACAGCATTGGTTAAATAACCTGGTATGTGAGAAGAATCACGCTGACAATCGACTCAAGATCACCAGTTGGTCCCATTGTGTGGCACACTTGCACACTCTAGAAACTACATGTATTAATGCACAAAGGTCTTGTTATTTACCACAGTAAAGAATATGTACATATGCACTGCACCTCTTTCAACTCAACAAAATAGGTGAAAGACATCCTCTGAGATAACAAGGTGTAGAGCTGGATGAACACAGCAGGCCAAGCAGCATCGGAGGAGCAGGAAAGCTGATGTTTCGGGCCTAGACCCTTCTCTGGTTCATTTTGCAGGGCAATGCCTTGACTAATCAGAGTTAAACTGCCTGGTTTAAAATTTAAACAAAGCTTGACAGTCAACTATCAGTCATCACTGACTAGGGCAATGTCTCTACCAATCAGCACTTTCCTTCCATAATGTACAAGTATTGTTTTCCCTTTAACTGGTAATCCTGGCAAATTGAGTCCAGGATTAACAGCTTCCTTGTCCCAAACCAGCTCCTTTTCACCATAATAATTTCAATCTCCACCTCCAACTTGATGGCCTGAAGGTAACCATCCCCAGATTCAACTCACCAGTTTTCCAATGCCTGTAAGCCAATTATCCCATAATAATATAGAGCTCTGTAAAAATATTTTAATTTTAGTTCTGACAGTGTGCCCTTTGCACGCAACCAATCACAGATTTATGCATTAAGTACATATATACATGGAGGATATTCCCATGCTCATCACCAGAGACCAAACTATGTTCAAAGTTGCCACCTTCACCTCTTTGCATTGACTACACATCTCCCAGAGTTCTCAAGAATTGAAAGTTAAATAAACAAGAAACTAATGTCGCAAAACAATGGGATAGAATAGGCCCTGACTGAATTTGCACCACTCACTCAGGACTGGCCAACCTCTCTCCTTCTCCCAGATTGGCCCACTTCAGCCTCATCTCTCTAATTCCACCCCATTTCTGACACTACCTATTGGCCCTGCAGCCAAAACCATCTCTTATCAAAGAACAAAGAACAAAGAAAACTACAGCACAGGAACAGGCACTTCGGCCCCCTAAGCCTGTGCCGATCCAGATCCTCTATCTAAACCTGTCACCTATTTTCCAAGGATCTGTATCCCTCTGCTTCCTGCCCATTCATGTATCTGTCTAGATACATCTTAAATGACGCTATCACGCCTGCCTCTACCACCTCCGCTGGCAACACATTCCAGGTACCTCCACCACCCTCTGCGTAAAGAACTTTCCACGCATATCTCCCTTAAACTTTTCCCCTCTCACCTTGAAATCGTGACCCCTAGTAATTGAGTCCCCCACTCTGGGAAAAAGCTTGTTGCTATCCACCCTATCTGTACCTCTCATGATTTTGTAGACCTCAATCAGGTCCCCCCTCAACCTTCGTTTTTCTAATGTAAATAATCCTAATCTACTCAACCTCTCTTCGTAGCTAGCGCCCTCCGTACCAGGCAACATCCTGGAGAACCTCCTCTGCACCCTCTCCAAAGCATCCACATCCATTTGGTAATGTGGTGACCCGAACTGTACGCAGTATTCCAAATGTGGTTGAACCAAAGTCCTATATAAAACTGTAACATGACCTGCCAACTCTTGTACTCAATACCCCGTCCGATGAATGAAAGCATGCCGTATGCCTTCTTGACCACTCTATTGACCTGCGTTGCCACCTTCAGGGTACAATGGACCTGAACACCCAGATCTCTCTATGCATCAATTTTCCTCAGGGCTTTTCCATTTACCGTATAGTTCGCTCTTGAATTGGATCTTCCAAAATGCATCACCTCACATTTGCCTGGATTGAACTCCATCTGCCATTTCTCCGCCCAACTCTCCAATCTATCTATATTCTGCTGCATTCTCCGACAGTCCCCTTCACTATCTGCTACTCCACCAATCTTAGTGTCATCTGCAAACTTGCTACTCAGACCATCTATACCTTCCTCCAGATCATTTATGTATATCACAAACAACAATGGTCCCAACACGGATCCCTGTGGAACACTACCGGTCACAGTTCTCTATTTTGAGAAACTCCCTTCCACTACAACTCTGTCTCCTGTTGCCCAGCCAGTTCTCTATCCAGCTAGCTAGTACACCCTGGACCCCATGCGACTTCACTTTCTCCATCAGCCCACCATGAGGAACTATCAAACGCCTTACTGAAGTCCATGTATATGACATCTACAGTCCTTCCCTCATCTATCAACTTTGACATTTCCTCAAAGAATTCTATCAAGTTGGTAAGACATGACCTTCCCTGCACAAAACCATGCTGCCTATCACTAGTAAGCCCATTTTCTTCCAAATGTAAATAGATCCTATCCCTCAGTATCTTCTCCAGCAGCTTCCCCACCACTGATGTCAGGCTCACTGGTCTACAATTATCTGGATTATCCTTGCTACCCTCCTTAAACAACGGGACAATGTTAGCAATTCTTCAGTCCTCTGGGACCTCGTCCGTGCTCAAGGATGCTGCAGAGATATCTGTTAAGGCCCCAGCTATTTCCTCTCTCGCTTCCCTCAGTAACCTGAGATAGATCCCATCTGGACCTGGGGACTTGTCCACCCTAATGCCTTTTAGAATACCCCAACACTTCCCCACCCCTCCTTATGCTGATTTGACCTAGAGTAATCAAACATCTATCCCTAACCTCAACATCCTTCATGTCCCTCTCCTCGGTGAATACAGACGCAAAGTACTCATCAAGACTCATTTTCTCTGACTCCTCGCATAACTTCCCTCCTTTGTCCTTGAGTGGGCCAACCCTTTCTCTAGTTACCCTCTTGCTCCTTATGTACGAATAAAAGGCTTTGGGATTTTCCTTAACCCTGTTTGCTAAAAATATTTCATGATCCCTTTTAGGCTGCTTAATTCCTCATTTCAGATTGGTCCTACTTTCCCGATATTCTTCCAAAGCTTCGTCTGTTTTCAGTCGCCTAGACCTTATGTATGCTTCCTTTTTCCTCTTTGCTAGTCTCACAATTTCACCTGTCATCCATGGTTCCCTAATTTTGCCCTTTCTTTCCCTCATTTTCACAGGGACATGTCTGTCCTGCACTCTAATCAACCTCTCTTTAAAAGCCTCCCACATATCAAATGTGGATTTACCCTCAAACAGCTGCTCCCAATCCACATTCCCCAGCTCCTGCCGAATCTTGCTATAGTTGGCCTTCCCCCAATTTAGCACTCTTCCTTTAGGACCACGCTCATCTTTGTCCATGAGTATTCTAAAACTTATGGAATTGTGATCACTATTCCCAAAGTAATTCTCCTACTGAAACTTCAACCACCTGGCCAGGCTCATTCCTCAACACCAGGTCCAGTATGGCCCCTTCCCGAGTTGGACTATTTACATACTGCTCTATAGAACCCTCCTGGATGCTCCTTACAAATTCTGCTCCATCTAAACCCCTAACACTAAGTGAATCCCAGTCAATGTTGGGAAAATTAAAATCTCCCATCACCACCACTCTGTTGCTCCTACATCTTTCCATAATCTGTCTACATATTTGTACCTCCATCTCACGCTTGCTGTTGGGAGGCCTGTAGTATAGCCCCAACATTGTTACTGCACCCTTTCTATTTCTGAGCTCTGCCCATATTGCCTCACTGCTCAAGTCCTCCATAGT